AGGAGAGTACGGCCACTGTCTGCGCTGCTGATGCTGTTGCTTGTCGCTACACGGCCACAACCGGACCCTCTAAAGGCCCGACTGCTGGTGGTGGTGGTGGGATAGGCGATCTCCAGCCGGCGGTGGCGTCGTCGATGGGGAAAAAGGCCTTGACCGGTGGGTTTCCTCAACATGTGCAGGTGACCGGCGGTCCGGCTGTACCCGACGCCTTCTCCGCCTTTCCCGGTCCAACAGGCCATTCAGACAGGAGCTGGCTGTTTGTCATTGCAATGTGCGAGTCATTCTGCGTGCATTTCATCTCTTCTTTTCATTGTCGAGGCTTTTGGGTTCTCTGTTAAATTGTCCTCTCTCCTGAGATTTCTTCTAGCTAGCGAGACCTGGAAGGGGTTACACGAGGTAGACGCCTTTTTCCAGTTTAGTCGGTTGAAGAGAGTTGTTTGCGCTCTAATCAGGGCTACTGATAAAGTTTCTCAACTGATTGCGGTGAAGACCTCAATCACTCTGTCTTTTGTTCCGTTGTCTGCTGACTACTACCTCGAAAAGTATTGACAGTCCCAAGGCAACTGACTGTAGCTGAAATTTGGTTCACCCCTGGGCTTAGTTCTGCTTCCTCTGGACGTCATCTAGGTAGTTGTAATTGCGTCTTTTCTTGCACCGTTTGTCCAACTAGTATGGACCGAAATCTTTAAAACAGGCAGAAATTCGTGAAACGCGAAGCTTATAAATACTGCATCCTGATGAATTATAGAAAACCTGTCTTGCTATCACATTGCGTGTTTAAACGACGAATTCGTTCGCTATAACGCTGTGGGCATTTGATAGCATCGACATATGCGAGAACTGATTCAACCGTCTATGATCTCGCTTCTTAGCTGTTTTCATTCTCATGGCTTATCTTCACTATATGTTTTGATTAAAAGAAGTACAGTCAACAAAGTTTTAGTCGTTTCTCGTTCATTTTCGTTCGTCAGTCGGACATACTCCAGTCACAGACCTGAACTACCTGGGATCCTGACTCCAGCTCTTTAAGCAGTTATGTAAAGTTTGGCCGGTGAGATGCAAGGTCGCGCCCTGTTTTTAATTTCACGTATAACATCAAATATCCTAATCATCATTCGAGTTTCCCTGTAAGAGTTTACATACGTTCATGTATTCACTTTCCTAATGCTCCTATAGTGTTG